GCCTTGCCAGGACTTGATATAAGCATTAATAAACAATATCAACATAAATATCAATGTTATTAATATCAGTAAATAAAAGAATTAGGCAAAAAAAATTGAAGAAGATAAAACCTAGTATCAAAATTAAACCCCTTCTGAAAAACAGTAACAATATCGATCAATAATTTGTTCTAACTATATCCCATTAAGTAACTCATTTAAGAACAAAGAAGGGTTTTTGTTTAGTGGCTACATCTTTCATAATCTTTCACAACATTTAATATCTATACATCACTGCCAGGGGAAGATTGTGTCAATTTCATAATACAAACACTCAAGTTCAATGTGCTCTAACTAGAAAGTGAGTTAGCACTTTCAAATAACTAAAATTTCATAGTTGAACTAAATGCTAGAAGGAATAATAAGTGAACAGTAAACAAAACTATTATAAAATAAAAGTAGAATTTGCTATCTCTCAAGAAAGCTCAAGGCTAGTGGCATGCAAATCACTAAGGCAAATTTCCAAAGGAATTAAGCTATTGTGTGTAAAGAGGTAAGTATCTATCGGAAATACATTTTCAAGTATGGAAAATGTTAATATCAATCAGACACAGTAGTTCAAGAGTTGGTAGTAGGTGTTGTTAACTAGCTGCCTTCCATTTAGCTATCAGCCCAAAATTAGCAATGTGTTAGTAGCCCATGCGAAACTTTGTGTAAAAATTTTAAAACATACATATCAATATTTCATTATTTTATTCAGATATTAAAATAATCACGTAAATAATTCCGAATACCTTTAAAACTGAGGATCTTTTGCTACATCAAATAAATGTTTGTAATATTTTAATCCTCATTATAGCTTTATGACTGTGGTTTCTTAAAACCTGTTTTTTATTGAAAGAGAAGATCTGAAATAAAACTTTAAATTATTAGCTCATTATTATCCTCCAATGGCACAGTGGTATGTCTGCAACCTACAATGCTAGAAACTGGGTTTCAATACCTGTGATGGGCAGAGCACAGATTGCCCCTTGTGTAGCTTTATGTTTAACTACAAACAAACAAAAGCTCATTATTTTGACACTTAAAGAGTTTATCAGAATCTGTTGTAGTGTGTTGAGTGATAAATAGTTAATGTGTTGTGGTCACAGTATCTACAGAAAATAATAAAAATTTATAATGGTTTATTGAACTTTGAAAGAAAAAATATTTTACTTCATTATAAAGTATAATGTATGAAAATTATCCTAATGTTTTGTCAA